GGCACACCCATAAGCCTGTGTGGCACATCTCTCCTGAAAGAGTGAAACCCCTGTCAGTTGCAATCTTAGGAATCCCTCAATCATACCCACTCCAGTTTTTAGTCTCACATGAGTCTCTGCTCAGCAAGGACATCTCTGTGCCAGGAGCAGGAGCAACAGTGGTAGGAAACGCTGCACCCAGCGGGTGCCATGATGGGAGGAAGGGTTTCTGTATGGGCTGTGTGGTTAGAGGGTGTGTCAGGAAGGGAAGTACCCAGCACTGCCATCCATTGGTGTAAGAGCTTGAGTTCTAGTTCCTGGATGACTTGATTTCACTTCCAAGTGTTGAGTTTTGATTCTGACTTGTTTGCTTCCTCCTCAGCTGCTACTCAGCTACCGACACTGCCGGCTAACTAGCACCAGTTCTTCAGTGGCAAGCTTTACGTCCCTGTCTAGCAGCTAAAGCTGCCAGTTGAAGAACTGTTGAATGTAGCCACTCTCGTCTTGTCACTTGGGCCCTCTGATGTCAGCTGGATGCACGCATTGGGAGAGCAGGATGGGTGAGTTTTCAACTAATTTGGATTAACCACTTCGTGGGCTGAGGGATGACCACCTTGCCAGACTATGAAGAGCCCTCCTTGATCCTGATCTGGAAGCTGTACTGAAAGCAGAGCCCTGGGGTTGTGTGACGCTCAGGGAAAGTCTCCAGTGGAAACTGAGGCTGGGGGGCATAGGTTGAACATAAAGGGGAGTAAGTATGTCTCCACGCTACAGGTGCAGTGCTTGCACCCTGGTAATGTGGAGACCTGCAAAAGAGTCCTAAACAGTTGCCCTTGATGTACAGAGGTTATGTTTGAACCATTAAATGTCTAGAGTAGAGGGACATGGTGAAGGTCTCAGCTGGACTGGGAGATCTCGCCTTGGAGAAATGGGATGTGGTGTCTAACAGCTCTCCAATCTCCATAGGCTTCCATGGAGATGAGAGCCTGATGCCTAATGTTAAAACATGCAGGAAAAGTTGCCAACCCTTCCATGCCACCTACTGCTGTCAGAGAAGCAGAAGGGCCCAAGCCCAGGTCTTTCTCGCTGATTATCTTTGCAGCCTTCACCTCACCAGCAATTTGGTCTTGTAACCAGCTTCTAGTCACAGTCACAGGAGGGAGTGCACTCTGGCTCACCCAGTAGACCTGGGCTAGCCCTGGGTGATGTGGTAGAACCTCATATTCTAATTTGCTAATAGATGCCTGACTCCAAGACAACTTTCTGTGCTGGTTACAGCCGTGGAGCCTAATTGCTAGGGGCAGCATGGGAGGCTTCCTTGACCTGGACTGATGAGGACAGTTTGGCTTCTGTGGTCTATTCAGTCCTTGACCTCTACTATAGCTGCCAAGCAGGGATCCATTTCACGCCAACTGTGATGGGTTTAGTCAGCAAAGGGCTGCTGAAACCACACTCCAGGCTTCTCCTGAGCAACTTTTCCTTACCCTCTGACTTGCAAGGTCACACAGCCGTGCTGTCCTGATAGGTAATGGGGGTTCGTCGGATAGGAGTTAGCTGGGCTCACGGGGATGTGCTGCCAGCCCCCCTGTAGGGCAGTGGTCCTTGGACCCTTGGGGAGCTGCACACTGTTTTAAGATTTCCAAAGGGGTCTGCAGCTCCATTTGAAATTTTGTTGGTGTCTGCAAATAAGGCTGAAAACCACTGCTGTAGAGCACTGTAGTACTGATGTGGAGATGGGAGGAGAAGTGCCTGGAGAGATGATGGGACATAGGGGTGGAGTGGTCATGCTTTTCCCCCAGGAACCAGCATCTTGTGAGGGACAGCCAGGGCCTGCCCCACATGTACGGTAGCGTGGTGGGGGGTTGCACTCCTACAGGACCCCCTCAGTATAATGGAATGGGAGGAATGTGGTGGCTGCTTGTGTGTTGGGTTCTTCTGACAATAGCTAAATAGTCTGGGGAATGTGGGATCAATGAATGTTCCCCAATCAGGCACCCTGCCTGCTCGAGCTGTGTAAGGGCTACAGAGCAGGTAGGTGCCCCTGTGGCTGTGAATGTCGTTGGTTGGATGACAGTGCTCAGCTTTAGTCACAGCAAACAGAAGGGCACATGAGGGGCGTGGGAACTGGAAGCTCTCTGAGGCATGCTAGTGGAGAATCCCTGTGCCCGGAGATAAGGCTGTCTAGTTTGGAAAGAAAAACGAGAGTGCTATAGCTTCACCATCACAGCTGCTGAGACGGTAGCGGGGCTCTACTCCCTGCTCTGCTCCCCTCGGGAAGGGAACTGACATGCATGTGGTCATGACACAAGGGCAGTATCACGTCTGCCCCACGTAACCCATGGAACTTGCTGCTGCAGGGTGAGGCATTCATATACATGTACAGCAAAAGCAACTCTGGCCACGTTGAGAGAACTTCCTGCTCCACACCGTAATCAGGCTGGGGCAAGAAGAAAACTCCCCACTCTTTGCCATGTGCCCCCATACCCTGTGCCATAGTGATGCATGTTCTTTAGTGACCATTACCTTCCTCTGCCAGATATAGCTCTGCTCAGGTCTGGGGCCAGGCCTGTTGTCCTTGGCGATTACCGTCCTCCCTACTTGCAGCACAGAGCAGCCCCAGAAAGCAGCTTGGCAGGTGGTGCTCTTGGTCAGGGACCAGCCAAGCCCTTGCCAAGTGCAAGCTGCTTTCCTCCTGAGGCGGGACCTCCTCCCTGCAGCAGAAGCAGCCTGGAGGTGCTGCTTTCCAGCAGACATGGGCTGGGCAGTGATCACTCAGGCTTTCCCAGGGAGTGGCCCTCCCATGGAGGCTAGAAAGCACAGCTGAGCCTGCCAGACTGGTTTCTCCTCACCTTGCAAGTGTGGGTGGGGAGGAGAAACGGGTCTGATTTAGGAATCAACTCCCCCCTGCTCCCTGGCTGGATTTATGTTCATCCAGGCTGTGTGTTGGAACCCATGGGTTATGAAGCATGTTCCCCAAAGGATGCTGCTACATGGCTGATGGTCACAGGGTTGAAAAAAGCTTCAGTGGCACAATAAGCTCTTGAAGGAGCCAAACTGAGCGTCCAGGCAGGCCAGCTGAAGGCTGAGCCAGGTGGGGCTCTCACTGCTTGGAGGCTGAGCTGTGTAAAGTGGTCTGCCAGGCCATGGCAATAGGGTTATTCCTGCAATGTGTCTTTGGCAGTAATACCATGTGATGGGAGGCTGCCTTCCACCAACTTGGGCTACTTGGTACAGTCTGGGACCAGCACAGGCAGGGGCTTTGTCAAAGGCTCTAGTCCAGGCATTTCAAGATCAATTGACATTGATACAGAGCTTCCTGACTGCTGGAGTATGTCCATGGATGGTCTTCAAGCTAAACTCCTCCTAGTCCCTAACTCAGCTGGTTTGGGGTTGGAGCTTGTCAGGCCAGAGCTGAATTTATTTCATCTTCAGTCATTGTTAGGTGACCATGGGGGGGACCCTCTGTGCCTTTGATCCATAGTCAGTCCCTTCTATTGCAGCTGGCTGGGTTTTCTGTATTGTGAGGTCAGACGTGGCATCTGGCTTCTGCTCAGTGTTGAGCATGTGCTGGAGTATGTTGTGGGGGTGGGGGGGAGAGTTGGTTTTGAATGAGGTAGAAGCAATTGCTCTATATGGGGCTACCTGAGCAGCTCTCTCTCTTTGGGCCACCCTTCCTGCTCTGCTTCCACTTCCTCCATTTCAGCCGTTGCTGCCTTGGAAGGGGTCTCCTCAGACAGCTCTCGAAATGTCAGGTGCTGACAAATATAAGGTGCCACAAATCATGTAGCTCTAAAGAATGGGACAACTCTTCTCGCTTTCCCTTGCCCCTGCTGTCATCACCACATGGTTTAGCACAGTTAAATTTTACCATTTTTAGTGCCCCCTCTCATCATGCAGGAGTCCATTGTGCTCTGCAAACCACACAACTACTTTTCCCCACTGCTAAAATTCAGCTGTATCTGGGAAGGAACACAACAGCTACTGCCACACTGGGGCAGCTTAGGCCAGAAAGTGATTGAATGCTCTATCCAATTAAAGCCAGGGTGATTTTTAGGCTAGCAGAATGCTGTTGCCCAAAGTGGAGCTTGACCAGCTCGCACAGCTTGACTCTACCCTGCAAACTGCCATGTGACCGCCCATGACCCAGTCCGTTACATTGCCTGTGGAAAGCAGCACCTACCAGCCACTTTGGGCACAGGAGATTCTGTAACTCTTCCCCCAGGCACAGAGCCCTTCCTGCACCATCTGGCTGTTCCCGTTAAGTCTCCTCTCCAAGCAGCGATGTAGCCCGAGAGAGCTGATAACATTCCATGCTGGGGGAGAGTGGCACATAACCTAGGCTGGGGGTTGGGATTCCCAGGGCTGGGAGGGGCTGACATGAATCACTAGAGGTAGGAAACACTGAGGAAACTAATGCAATATTTAGGGTTCCCAAGTGATGCTCTTGTAGCAGGCCTCAGCCTAGGAAACATTTAATGTCATCTAACTTCCTCTGGCACCGTGTGCCCCTGTTAACTAGTGGGGGTGCAGTATTAGTGATAATGCATTACGCTTTAGTTCTTTGACAGAGCACGTGGGGCTAGATTCTAGCTGTGTGAAAGACTTATCTAGGCTACAGCTCCCCTTGCTGGAGAAAAGTTGCCTCTTCCTGCTTTGCTGTTTGTTAGATATGCTACTAATCTCCATGAAAGCTCCTCTATCTTACTGGCCAATATTCAGAGGCATTTTTTAAAATAGAGCTGTCAGACTGACTGCATGGTTGGGATACGAGCTTCCCCTGTTTGCTCAGACCCTGGCCACGACCACCCTTCAGCTGAGTTCCAGGACTCTGTGGTAGCCTGCTGTTCTTCAGCCCAACGGTTTCCCCTCTACAGAAGAGAGGACAAGTTATGTCTGGTTGATCCAGCACTTCTCTTCTCCTTCCTTCTCTCCTCCCCCCCCCCCCCCCCCCCCAATAAACTTTCCCAAGTAAAGAGAAGGGATGCTGTGGTTGTGATTGCAGACATGAAAAGCCGGGCTCCTGCTCTGTTTCATGCTGGTTTTTATTTCTCCTAAGCGGGAGGACGGGGGTATGGGAAATGATTGCGCCTGTGGGGGTGTTACGGGGCCCCCAGGCAGTCTCGCATTAGGCTTGCTTCATCCAGGTTATATCAGAGGACCTGCAACAGAAGAAAGGATGCTGAGGAAAGGCCTGCCTGTGACAGTGCTCTGGCCCAGGCAGGGCTGATGCTAACGAGGCAGCAGTAACCTCATGGGGCATGAACTTAGTGGGTCAGTTGAGTTACTCACTGGGCCTCTGCTTTTGAGATTTGTCTGCCAGAGTACATGACCTCGGCTACCAGGGAGACCATGGGGTCAAAGTTCAGGCTGGCAACGGCAATCACATAATCATCCCTGAAAGAGAAAAGCTTCAGCAAATGAGAGATTCTCCCCTCCAGACCCCTGAGTGACAGAGCACTGCAGCCTCCTAGAGCTTAAGGGACTGCTGGTCTAGGGCCAGCTTTATTCTGATCGGCTCTGAGCTGGGCAGGAGCTGGGATCCCCATGGGCAGAGACAGTGCAGGCTCTCCATGGCGAAGTGCGGGTCTGTTAAAGTGCACAGTGCCCACGGGGATCAAGTGCTGAATGGGTTAAGAGTCGGGTAGAGTGAAAACATGCTATCCCACTTCTCCCTTCCTCTCTCCAGAGCTGATATGCCTCAGTCTCTGGATTCTGGGACCCTACAGTTTTAATATTGAACCTCAAAAGGAAGCTTTTCTATAAACCAGGGAGGCTGTTGAAAGATCTGTCAATCTTCTTCTCTGGTGGCCTGTTCCTCCCTCCTTTCCATGCCCCTGCCACACCATGCAGAAGCTGGATGGACGGCAACACTCTTATGCACACTCTTGGAAGGGTGGTGTGGAGCATGCCCCCTGCGGTACTGCCAAGGACCATCCCCCCGAGCACCATGGGCATCGGTGCTGCATCCTGCACAGGAAGAGTAAATTCTTGGCAGATTCACTAGCTGGGTCTGGCTCTGACTTGCCAAGAGTTCCAAGCTAATTGGGCTACAGATTCACTCACTTGATGTAAAAGACCAAGAACTTCAGCTGCTCCAGATCTCCCTTCACAACAGTCTCTGTGTATCCTTTCCCATAGCCTGCAAACACAGAAGATGCAGTGAGGCCTGGGTCTGGGCCGATGCCACCATGCCCCTTAAGCTCAATGACCAAATAACTGCAGGTGGGGGGGGGAGACAGCTCAGTAGACCAGTGGAAGGACCTTGAGGTGAGAGCTGGGCTGCATGTTCCCTGCAGTTAGGGCTCTGGCTGTGGCCAAGGGGAGAGAGGGTGACCCTTGTCCCCTGGGGACATGACCTCTGACCCTAATGTCCTGGGCTATGACTTGACACTGGGTTTTCTGCTTTCAGCTGTAGCTTCCCCAAAGTAAAGCAGGGGCTTGGGGGTGGGGGACTTCTCACTCTCACTCTCTGATTGACTTGGAGAATGGTTCAAACCTCTGTCTGGGTGCTTATAAGGTCCCCATCCCTGCAGTATCTGAGCACCTAGCTTTGCACAGGTATGGGGCGGGGGATGGCGGTTTCTGCTCCCCTCCCACCTGCATAGCGGATGCTTTTTCCAAGCAGCGAGGTCCAAAAGAAAGGAACGGTGTGCAATGCCTTCTGCTTCTTCAGCATGTTTAAAGCAGCAATGTGACCTGAAACGACCCAGAGAACCCCAGGAGGGGAGAATGTATTTTTCCAGAAGATACTTTCACGGGAGACTTAAAACTTCAGGTTCATCAGCTCTCTCCTCTTGAAGTCTGTCTCCTGCCTTGGCTCGAGGTGGGAAGCGGGATATTGCTTCCAATGACTGACTCGGCTGGCAGCAGCAGCAGCTACCCACCTCTAAGTGCATGACCCCTTCCCCTCCCTCCCTTTGACATTTGGTCATAGCTGGCCCCATTGCATGGCATGTGGGCTGGTCAGTGGAGCTGGTTTGGTGCATAGGTAGTGGCTGTGCATGTCCTGGAGCCCACTTGCCCCAGGCACAGGCCTTGCAGCCTTGTGACCATTTCTCAAGCCTGTTTTTCCAGCTGTGTTGGGAAGGGAGGCAGACACAGATAGTGCTAATGCTGCTGCAGTCCCTCACCATGAGCCTGTGCTATCTGCCAGTGACGGATGGTGGCGGTCATCCCACCGAACAGTGTGACTGGAAATGAAGTCACATCTCCAGCAGCAAAGACTCTTGGGACGTTGGTTTGCATGAACTAAGAAGGGAGAAGGGGTGATTAGTGACCTAGAATGCACGGAACCTTAAATGTGATGTGTGCGTGCCTCGCAGGAACTTACGCACCAAATCCACCAGGATGGCCCCTCTACGGTCCATAGCAATTGAAGCCTCCTTCAGGAAAGCTGAGTTGGAGGTGACACCTTGGGGAAAGACGAAGACACGCAAGAGGTGTGGCAGGAGCGTGAAGAAAGCTCATGTAGGCCAGTGTGGGGGGAGCACAGCTGTTCAAGTATCATTCAATCCCGCATGGGCTGGAGTTGGTAAAGCACAGTAAGAACAAACCGCAGCATATGGAGGGGAGGGTGACAAGGAGAGCTGCATGAGGGGTAATCAAACCCCAGCTCTAAGCAGGACAAGGTATTTGGGTAACGGGTGCAATGAGTGTAAAAACGGATCGGGGGGGGGGGAGGGAGAATACTCCTGGAGCAGCACTACAGGAAGGGAGAATGTGAGGCAATCAAGTCACAAGCATGTCCTGCTCAGGGTATCTCGGGGGGCTGGGGTTGGTTGGGGCTAGGGTAGAGAGAGTAATTATTCTCTTGGGAGTTAGTCTTGGAAGGTGAGCTAGCCAGGCTCTGTTTTACGGTGGGCAGCATTGCTTTGGGTTTTAGCTAGTGTGGGATACGCAGAGGTCCTGGAAAGTGAGGGGCAGCATAGATACGGATGGGGTCTACGTGAAGCAAAGGTGTACTGGTTAGTCTCTTACCTATTCCCACCACCACCACATCTGCAGGTAGCTTCTCTCCACTGGCCAGAACAGCCTCTGTAACCTAGGAAAGAGGCAACACTATTCACTGAGATGCTGCCTTAGAGCCTACCCCCCCACGACACACACACACACACACACCCCTGCCCTCGCTATGGTGCTTTGCTTCCTCAGACCCTGGACCACCCAATCCATGTTTCTGGGCCCAGGAGACTCTGATCCTAGGGGCAGTGGAGAGCAAGCTAGTGCCTGTGTAGGTGAAACAAGTGTAGAGTTTAGTGCCCTGGGAGACTGGAGATTACGCAGGCTGTGGAAGGAACACGGGATGGGAGTGGAACGGTATAGGCCCACATTGGAAGCAGATTTTGGGAGCAGTCCAGGTGCGGAGCTGGTGTTAAGGACTTGCTAACCTTTCTGTTCTCTCCTTGCAGCTCAGAGATTTCAGCCTTCATGTAGAATTTCACTCTTTTATTCTGCAGCATCTGAAACAAGGAAGAGGAATTACCCCAGCCCCAAATAGCTCTTCTCATCAATGTTCTATCCCTGATTAATTCAACAATTACACATTCCTCCCCTTCCAGAAACCCAGGCAGATAGCTGCCCACTAGGGTTCTCCAAGTACCACCCCACCTTCCCAAGCAGGTCCTGTGGATGAGAGAGCTGGCATCTCCTACAGCTGATGGAGGAACAGCCACGCCTCCTTCTGGGTCCCCAGTCTGTGCTCAGACAGGGGAGCCCTAGCACATAAGGCGGGAATATTAGCTTGGGGCAGACATGAGCATGAGGCATGCAAATTGGCCAGAATCGAGAGGGGCTGAGAGGAGACCAGTGTCGCTAGGGAGGGATGGCTGGGAATAGCCCATGTGTGTGCACATCAGGCACAGCTGTCCAAGCTGGTGAGCTGTGTGCAAGGTGGGTAGGGAGGGGTAAGTGTGGTATCTCGGGCACAGAGTGGGCGGGAGGTTTGCACTTGCTGTGTGACTGTGCGTGTGCAGTGTAGGGCTTCCACACCACTTGGATCTGTGTGCATTCTCTGTCTGCTATTAACTATACCTTCATGGCAACACCTCCGACCTGAGGCCCCAGCACTGCCTGGAAGGGGAACTCCTCTCTTTCCACCACGCAGATGGTGCTGGCCTTGTCTGAAAGGAAGGCAGCAACCTCCATCCCTGCACACAATGGACATGTCTGCAGTGAAATTGGCACAAGTACCCCACCCCCACCACCAGCCTTCTCCCTGGAAATAGGGATGAAGCTGGAAATCTTTTACCCCTGGGGGTGGGAAGTGTGTCAGAGATACTGTCCCTGCTGCCTGCTTTTATACAAGTATCACTCTCTAGAATCCTCAATCTTTCTGGGATTCACCAGGGATCCAAGTATCAGGAGGGGCAAAGACTTCTCCATCCCCCTATGCACCCCACTAGCTGCATTTCGGGCCTGTTTGCCTCCCCAGGGCACAGCAAACCCCCACTCTCCCAGATGGTGCTGAACAAGGCAGCCTGCACTCCTGAAGGATGAGGTGACATCTCCATAAAATAAATCCCCTTCCCCCAGGTCCAAGTGCTGTTTGCAGTTTTTGGTGCTTCCAGAGGAATGGCTTGGGGTGGGGCACCCCCCACACAGAGTAATGCACAGCCCAGAACAGCACGGAGCGGCCACCCACCACTGAGCATCGCAGCCGCTTTTGGCAAATGGCCTTTGGTTAATCAGCACACAGTGAAAATAGATTTCAAGGCTCGGCTTACAATTAGTGATCTGACCCCACCCTATTCTGACTCGCTGTGTGAAGTCAGGCAGTTGCTACGCCAGTCTCGTACCAATGAATGAAGCGCCTAGAATCACCACCCTCTTGCCAGTTGCTAGGTGGAGAATCCTGTTAGCATCCTCTGGGGTTTGCAGGGAACACACGTTCTCCAGGTCTGAGCCGGGGCACTGGAGCTGCCTGGGGCTGTGGGAGAGGAGACTTCAGTTACAGTTGCCGTGCTTATTAAAAGGCAGCTGTGCCTGCCCTCTCCCCCTGTGAGCACGAGGTCAAAGGCCTGCTGCACTCTTCCCCCTCAGGCCCCCTGTGCTGAGCAAACATGGCTGCCTCGCTTTCTCACCTGCTGCCTGTCGCAATGAGGAGCTGGTCGTACCTCTGGACGGCCCCATCCTGGAAGTGGGCTTTCTGCCCCTGCGTGTCCACGGACACCACCTGCAGCACGGAAAGGCACGGGGCAGTGTTCTGCTCACTCCTCCGTTCCACAGCCTGGCTAAGTACAGGTAGCGCATAGCCACCCAGGGACCTGTGTGCCCCCCGCCCAGTCTGCTCTTTGCACCCAAGTACAAGGTGGGAGAATGCTACGGTTCAGTTCGGAGCCAGCCATCCCAAACCTCCAGTGTGCCATATGCCCCCTTCTAAAGTCACCTCCCTCCCATGCGACTGCTGCCTGTCTGCCACTAGCTTACCCACATGTACCAATGCACCAAAACCTGTACAGCAGGGCCCAGCAGGTAAACCTGACTTTGGTGTGTGACCAGGCAGAGTGACTAATAGACCCACCATTCTAGAGAACTACAGTATTCTGCAGCAGTGGTCCCCTGCTCCCAGACCAGTGTTAGGGACAAGGACTAATCTTTTGATAAAGGTGAGCTGCTGCTGCTCCTTCACCTCTTTGTCAGTCCAAACTTCTATGCCATGAGCCTCAAAGAAGTCCTGCTGCCTCAGGTAAATGCTCTCTAGTGTCTTGTCCATCGCCTGGAAGTCAAGCAAAGCAACAAGCATGAGGAGCAGCTCCACAAAGCCAATCACGCTGTTCAAGAGGTTAACAGCACCTGAGCTGCAATCTGGATTCCTGGAGTTTCCTTATGGGAAATGTTCACAATGGGCAAAGTGTTTTCTTATTAGTAAATCCAACTGCCCTCCCCCCAAGCCAACCACGTCTATAGCAGGAGGGGGCTGCAGGGAATGGGGTAAGATCACTGGCTCAGAACTGCTTCTGTCCAAGCCTGTTCCACGAGGAGGCACTATAGGGAGTGGGTCAGGGACATTTGCTGAACAATGTAACCGGGCTCTGCTCACAGCCCTAGCTAACGGAGCTCTGACTGTGGTTCTCTGACTGAAGCTTCTACTAATTCCTGTCCTCCCCCCGCCCTCCCCAGGCCATCCCCTCAATCGCAGTTCTTAAGAGCAGCTCTGGCCATGCACAAACCTTGCTTAGTTGGGTCCTGTCATATGGGACATGCTTTTCTTTGGTTACCATGATGATCCTGCCTGTAAAGCCTTCCTGACAAAGTGTTTCTGCACAGACCAGTGCAGCTGTACCTATGAGAGAAACATGAGTCTCACCCCTTCTGGCACGACCCACCAGCCATGCAGGAGGAAAGCGCCACTCGCGCCCCCGGAGAAGAGCCCAGCAGACCCAGCATGTGCCCAAAGGGCTGACATACAAACTACATGACCAAAGCACAGGTGCTTGTGTTCAGAGCTTGTCTACTGATTCACTGACCTCCACCCAGGAGCAGCATTGTGTTCTCGTTGCTCCGGCATCGCTCACTCATGGCCTTCAGCTTTCGGTCACTTTCAAGGTCCTGGCAGAAAGAAAAGAAATTATTCAAACAATGGTAACTGGTCCCTGGACCACCTTTGCTGTGGTTACTCAGTGAGAGCAGGTGAGGTCAGTACCTTTTTTTTGCAGTAATAAATACCTTCCCGTCTTCCACTCGCACCTGCGAAGACCAAAGAAGAGTGGGATTTCAGTGCATAGCTGAGGCTGCTGGGAATTTCCTGAGGAGTCTCTGTTTTGGAGTGTGTGTGTCCTGCAGGAGCTGGCTGCTACCAAAGCCTGTGTTACTCTGGGGTCAAGTGGCACTAAGGAGGAGGGTGGGCACTGGAGGTGGGCTGGAGGTGGGAGTGAAGGCCCAATGAGGATGTGGAACTAATAAGGCAACCTGATGCCAAAGAAGCAACCCAGGGCCTTCGGCCTAAGGTAAAAAGCTAGAGCAGCCCAAAGGGAAAAAGAAAGCGTGCTGGACGGTCTCGTGTTTCACTCTTCTGAAGAGTGAAGAGAGCTAGTGCCCCTCTGCGGAAGGTGGTCTTGGGCAGGTCACATTTGGACTCTTCTATCCAGCTGATCACCCAAGCCCACAGAACACCGCACTCCACCTGACAAGCTCAGAGTGACCTTTACGCACCTTTCAATGCCAAAGCAGCTCAAACAGACACTGCTAGCACTTACAGAAGTGTTACAGGCTTTGTCTTCAGAGAGTTGTGAGAATCCTTCTTCCTTTCAAAAGCACTACTAGTCAATGTGGGGCCAGGGGCCTAACAAGGCTTCTGAAAAGGCATTTAGGTCCTAGAGCCAAATGGTCCTGAAAACCAGTTCTTCAGTAACCACTATGGAGAGCGGTGGGCAGGGAAGAGAATTCTAACACTTCAGCGGCATCGCTGGTGAGGCCCTCAGGGCCCAGGCTGGCTGTGAAGTGGCAGGGACTGTAATGGATGAGGCAAAAAGGGGAGCAAACACAGAGTAGACAGAACAAGCTGGAGTGCAGAACGGAAAGTAACAAGGATAATGTCACCTTAAAGCAGGGAAGACAGTCCAGCGTTGGATACTCCTCAATGTCTCCAGTTCTGATATTGAAGCAGGCGCCATGCCAGGGACAGCGCAGTCTGTTACCCGCCAAGACTCCTGCAAGTCACAAACCAAGGAAAGTGTTGTCTAGTGTGTAGAACAGAACTTGTTGTCAGGACTCCTGGAGTCTATTCCCAGCTCGGACTGTGATGTGATGTACCATGGGTAAATTGTTCACTTCCGCAAACTGGGTTCAGGATTTCTTGTTCTCCTCATTGGGTGTTGCGAAGCAGCACTGTGTACCTCTTCACTATCCTTGAGAAGTACTGTATGGGGGGAGATCATTTGGGGAATCCTGTGTACAACTTAGGAATTATGGTTGATATTATGGACTCTACATGTATCTAGACTAAACTGCAAACTCCATTTGGATTGCAAGGCTGGTCTGGTTCCTCTGCTGTCTTTTTACCTCCATCTTAGGCTGAAATTGCCAGAGGTGTTGACACAGGACTAACAATGGTGGGTTGTTAAACCGTTAGGTCTTCTATTCAAGTGGAGGCCCCCATGGTCAGTGAGCTGAGTACTGCTCAGAAGCACCAGTTTACCTGGTGGGCTGGTAACAAGGCAACTGATCACCTGGCCGTGGGGAATTCAAGCTGATTGGAGGTCAGCTGACAAAGGGGACTGAAAGTTATAAAAAGGGCCTCTCACAGGGCATTTCAGGGTGTAGAAAGCCACTGCTTTTAGGGCGTAGAGAGAGCGACTCTATGTTCTGGAAGAGAAGCCATGTGCAGGAGGGAATGGGGAGAGGAAAGACCCTGGACTCCTTAGGAGACTGCTTAGTTCCCACAGAATGCTTGAGAGTGGTGAGGAAACTGAGGCAGGAAATGGCGTGCTGGTGTAACTGTTTAGCCCAGTAAAGAGTGATTGTTTTCCAAAATCCCTGTGCAAAGATGTCTGTTTGCGTCCATTGGCACATGTCTCTAAAAGGGTAAGCTGTGAACCAGAGTGCCCACAAGGTGGGAGCTCTTGAAAAGAGTGGGAGAGGGGTCAGCAATGGTCCTGGGAGGCTAGAGTAGCCAGACATGAGGTCCCACTTCTGTGAAGGGGTACCACACAGACACCGTGTGCCCAGGAAGCGAGACCGAGAGGCCAAACAGAGTCAGTGCTGCAGCCTACTCAGAAGAAGGGAGGCTTTAAAGCAGCGTTTCTCAAATGTGGCCACCAGGGGCTTTTCGTGTGGCCATGGCCTCCTGGGTGGTGATGAGGGGGGCAAATCAGTAGCCCCTGCCCCAGGGCTGCCAGCAGGGGGTGGGCCCTGTCCCCCTCTGGAGCCACAAACGCTGGAGGAGCAGGCAGGCAGTGGGGTTTGAGCTTCAGTTCCGGGATGGCGGGCGACAGGTTTCATCCGTGTGGCGGCAGACTCCATCCCCTGGCCACGGGCTTTGAGCCCTGATCCTGGCCCCAGACTCACCCCGCCCGCCCCCAACCTGCTGCCTCCTCTGACCCTGGGCTCTGGCCGTGCAGCAGTGGGCTCTGACACCCAGCTGCAGGGTTTCAGACTCCAGCCGTGGGGCCACGCAGTCCAGCCCCCAGCCATGTGGCAGTGACTGCCGGCCCCAAGCTCGCCAGCCCAAAGCTCACCTCCCCCCCGCACTCCCAACATAACCCCTGTCCCCACTGCATCCTCTGGCCCCAGTCCCCGGCTGCGCAGCTGAAGGGCTCTGGTCCCCGGACTCGCCCCCCCCCTCATTGCCCCTGACCCCCAGCTGCCTCCCTACCCACCTCCCCATCCAGGGTTTAATTTGTCCCCAGGCTTGCTAGGGCTGAGTAAGTCTGTTGTGAAAAGTGATATTTGTATGTTTATTAATATCACTTTTCACTGCCTCCCTGCGAGCTAGCAAGTCTGCTGCTGTGAAAAGTGATATTAACAAAATACTAATATCACTTTTCACAGAAACAGACTTACTACCTAGCAAGTCTTAAAAAAATAAGCAACCACAAAAAGCAAACGAAACAACAAAAAGGGACAAGAACATGCAAAACACATTATTTGTTTCTGTTCTGTTTAGGTCCAGTAAAGAACAGAGACAATGGTACGTTATTTTTATTATTGAGTCTGCAAAAAAACCCTACATAAATAAATTACAGTGATTTGGACATGTATATGTGCATATTTATTTATTTTTCCTAAAGTTAATTGAGTATTTTAGGAAAAATTATCAGAGCGGCCACCAGCCATAGCTGGTGGCTGCACTCTGAGGCCACCAAAAAATTTCTTGAGAACCCCTGCTTCAAAGCACCCTGGTATGTGTGGGGAGGGAGCCAAACACAACCGTCTGGTGAGTGTCCACAGACAAGGCCAATGACACCCTGCTGAGGCACTGCAAGGCAGCCCCCTGAAAAGCAGTTGAATCCTGGTCCACTTCCCACCGGGGGGCTGGGCTGTCCCTGACTTGGGGGCGACAGCGTGGGCTTCCCTTGCCCTTTCGCTCAGAGGTGCAGTGAGACAGAAGCTCAGCCTGCTACGCAGAAGCATTAGAAAAGCGGCAGCTCCTGGAGAGCCGCTGCCCAGCCGCTGCACAGTGTCTCCTTTGACACCGTCGCCTCTTCCTTGCGTTTGCCCCTGGCCTGAGCTTTGCCCAGCCACTGGGGATACCCGCCGGGTTTTACCTTTGCTGAGAGAGGCTCCGGCGTGTGTGCACTTGCTCCCCACAGCACTGAACTCCATCTTATTCCTCACCAGCAACACCGTGTGGCCTGCAACCTCCACTTCCCGCAGCCTGCAGGAGACGAGCACAAGCCAACATGGTGAGCCTGGACCCCTGGACGGCGGAGGCAATGCCTAGACCGTGGGGCCACCCGGGGGCAGCTGCCATACCGGACTCCTCGCTTGTCCCGCGAGAGCCTCCAATAACCACGGCAATGGGGCTGGTGTTTCTTTGGCTCCGGGCCCACTACCGCCTCTCTCAGTGGGCTTTTGCGGGGCTGGCTTCTTCCTAACCTGCCTCCCCCTCCTGGGTGACAGGAGTCCCAGACAAGCCACCTCTTAGGAATAAATGAAGCCTTGTTGCTGAGGAGCAGAGCAGAAACAGAAGCCCCCAGCACACCCATCTCTTGGGGCCGCTTTGCTGAGGCAGGACCCACCCCCCCTGTGCTAATGCAGGGTGCCAGCAGGGGGTGTGGGTGGGGCTGGGGGGCTATTGGGTGTCACACAGAGGTTGGGCTGAGTTCAGCTGGAGGGGGCCTGGGTCAGGTCTGTCAGCAAGTGCTGGTGATGGGAACTGGCCTTTCACATTACCCCCAGCCTGCCGCGATCGACACTCACTCGCCATCCTGGACGTCTGACTCCTGGCAGACCTGCTCTGTGATGCTGTCTTCGGTGTCCATGCTTGTGGGCGCTGGTCTCAGCAGCTGGCTGGCTGAAGACAGAGCAGAGAGGAGTCAGGGATGGGAATGGGGTGCTGCAGCAGAGCATTCTGGGAAGGCTGCTGCTCGGTCATTTTGCTCTCAGAGTTGTTGACGTGACATCTGTGTTATGACCTCATCACCATGTAACGATGCACCTCAGCATGAAGACACAGACCCCAGAGTGACTTTGGGAATAGTTCTCTAGGCCGCTTGGCAGATTGCAGACCTGTCTCAGCCGGATGGTGCACCCTGGGAGTGTGACACCACAACTGCAGCCCCAGGCCCTGTTCCCCTCCCACCCTCTGTTACACCTTCCCCCACCAATGCACCAGAACCCCACAGGTCTCCTAAAGGCAGTGCTCAGCAAATCTCCCTGCTCCCTGTCCCTGCCCCCAGGGCAGGATTAACCTTTTGTGAGCCCGGCGCCAAATATATTTGTGAGCCCCCACGGGGGCAATGGAGCCTGGCGCAGGGCGACCCCGCTCTGCCCAGCCCTGTGCAAGGGCACTATTTACAAACCGGCAGTTGCCCGACGCAGCGTGTCTTGCCCGGCCCTGTGCTGCCAGCATGTCCCTTCCTGTCGGGGGTGGGCCCATGCCACGCCACACAGCCGCCCCGCCCAACAACCCCCAACTCCCTATGGCCAGAGCTCCCCTGAACTCGCTATGCCCAGCACCCCCACCCAACCCTCCCACAAATGCACAGCGCCCTGCACCACACCACCCCTGCCCAGTGCCCCCCTGCCCACAGCCCCACAACTGCCCAGCACCCCCCACAGAACCCCCACTCCCTACTGCCCCAACACACACAGATCCTCCCCGCCCCTTCACAGCCCAGCACCCCCCAGACCCCGAAGAGACCCACTCCCCTGCACCCTGCCTCCCGGCTGCACTCACTGGCCCTGCTGGGAGGTGACTGTCTGCCGGACTGAGCCGGCAGTGCAGCCAGGGCTGGTCCCAAGGCGGGAAATCACTCCGGTCCCTCTGGAGTAGCGCAATCAGCCAGACCAGGGCCTGCCCCGGCCGGGCTCCATCAGGACCCACTTGCCTGGAGGGGCCCAGCCAAGCCCCCCCACACTGTCTCCCCCAAACTGACTGAGACTGGCCAGGCTTCTGCACCAATCCCCGGTGGCTCAGCTCCGGGGAGACAGGTGGGGCCCAACAGGTGGTGGGAAGCAGAGACTGCCCAGAGCCGGAGGTGCGCTGGGGTCCGGCCAGGAGACAGAAAGGAGTGCTTGGTTGGCTGGCGAGCAGGCCGAGAGGAGCAAGTGATGGTCAGGGAGGAGCCAGCGGGCTGGTGGGGTCTCGGCGCAGTGCAAGCGGAGCAGGCCGGGGCCCCTTCTGAGCATGGGCCCAGCTCCATGGCGCCACTGGTGCCATTGTAAACCCGGCACTGCCTGCCCCAAGGCATGGCCTCCTCTGGAAACAGAGGGGCCAGAACTACAGGCAGAGCCATTCTGAGCAGGAATGCCTTGGCTCGACCCCCCAGTCCTGGGCCCAGAGCAGGCAGGCCCCCAAGTCCAGGGCACAGAAAGCTTCATTGCAGTTGGCAGAGATAGTTGGGATGAGAGTGTAGGTGAGAAGGACCAATGCCTCAGCCCTGGCGGGCGGGGTGAGGCTGAGGCCTCGCTCACAGCCTGAGGTGATGGTACAGACAGAGGGGTGGGTACCTGGGAACTGTGAGAAAGCCAGGCCTCCGTGGGCAGGGTAGAATGGAGCCCAGCCGCTGGGTGATGGGAATGAGGGCCTGGGAGCAACAGGGCAGGGAGACACACCCTCTCCCCCAGCCCACCAGACACAGCGTCATCCTCATTCAGACAGCAGGATGCATCCGATGCTGCCCTTTGCTGCAAACAAGCACTCCAGGTAAGAAGCTCTCTGCAGCAGCTGCTGCTCTGTCTGTGCCTTGCTTGCGGGACACACAGCCTGACTCGCTCAGTTTTGGTCACTCACACGTGACAAGGCCTAGGACCCTCAGAAATGCTTCTCTGGCTGGGGCCCAGATACACCCTTCTTAAGCCTAGAGCCCCCAGCATCCCTGGTGTCCACGATAGCCCTTTCACCTGCCCATGCCCGCACCTTTGACTGGCTGGGCCATTCTCTTGGGTAATTTCCTACAATTCACACCAGCCACGGGGAGGGTGCAGAGCAAACCAAGCTACTGCAGCCTGTTTGGGCTTTGCTGATTCACTGAATGGGGTGGGGCCAGATAATTGCATTTGGAGCCAGGATGTAACTGGTTCTGCAAGCCACTGCAGTGGGAATGCTCCCTGTGTTACCACAGCAGGCTGAAAGCCCTCCTGTTAGCTGTCGGATGGCAGTGGGCCAGCAAATCCAGAATTAGCCAGTCTGCTCCTGCACATCCTTCTGTCTTAAGCAAGTGGTACAGACTGATGCGGAACACTGGAATTTCTCTATTTACCCCATTGCTTGCAAGGGGTATGATGAGGGCTCCATGTAGGTTGCGTCACAGCCCACTAAATTCTGTGGCACATGGAAACTAACATTTGTCACAAGACCCCCTCAGGCCTTTAGCAAACTGGAAATTCTGTGGTGGTGGGACATCTGTAGAAAAATATCCAGAAAATTAATTTTCATTGCATGATCTACTGTATAACAGCATTCATTGTCTTATGAAATGCTTCTTTGTGGAAGTTTTTCCACATATTTTAGACTTCTGATGCATTTCCAGTTTGCTGCAAAAATCAGGATGCCTTCCTATAGAACTTAGGGTGGTATGCCATATCCTCGCCTTCTGGCTGCTGGAAGGAGGAAAGGGGGCAACCAGATCTGGAGTGCATGGATGGTAGGGAGCAGGTGGACTACAGAACATTCAAGGAAGATTCCAAAAGTCTGGGAGAAGCAAGGGAATATGGACTTAGAATATTTAGCTTCCTGGCTGTCCACAGTGATCAAACAAGGAGGTAGTGGTGACTGCTTGAAAAGCTGGGGCGGGGGGGGGGGGAATTAGGAACTCTGGTTTAGCCAAGTTGAGCTTGAGATGATGGCTAGACATCCGCAAGGAGCAGTTAGCGAGACAGGCGGAGATTTTAGTTTAAACAGAAGGAGACAGCTTGGGAGTAGAGAGGTAGCTGTCAGCACAGATGTGGTAGTTGAATCTGTCTTTGCAGATGGACTTAAGGTGTAGAGGGAGATAAAGTAGAGAAGGGGTCCAAAGATGCAGCCTTGTGAAGGCCCCACAGAAAGTCAGCGGGTAGATGAGGAGGATCCCCTGAAGGACGCACTGAAAGAGGGACCAAGAGAGGGCAGAGTCAGGGAAGCAAAGGGAGGACAAGGTTTCAAGAAGAGCTGATTGTGGCAGAGGTAGCTGGTAGGTGAAGGAGGATGAGGATGAAGATGAAGTACTGGTTCTGAGTTTTGGCTTGGAAGAGGACATTAGACTTGCCCACCTCCTTCATAAACGAGATAGAATTCTATCTGTGACTGTGGAGGAGAAGACGCAGGGAGCACAATAGGGCAGGTGATTACAGCACAATCACCACAACAACAAGATTGCTGCAGTAGTTGGTCTAAATGGAAGTGTTGCACCTGTGACACGTATTAGTTGTTTAGTGCAAACAGTGACCTTGGCTGTGCACAATATAACCAAACAGGGCTTATAGCCTGAAAGGAACCTAGGAGTAGAGCTGGGAGAATAACTGATTTTTCAGTTTTGTAGCTGACCTGAAACATCGATACGAAATGACATTTGGGTTGGTCCAAAACAAGCATTTGTCATTGAAACAAAAAAAAGTTGAAAATGTAATTCTGGTTCGACGATTCATTTTGTTTAGTTTCATATTTATTTATTTTTGTTATTTTTTGGAATACAGTTGAAGCAAAATTCAAAACAAAAAGTCATTCTGAAAATGTAGAATCAAGATGTTTGGACTTTTTGGGGGCCAAAACAATTTGGCACAACTTGCAGAAAATTGTAAAATGTTTCAGTCAACCCAAATATGCATTTTTCAGTTAAAAAAAAGTTTTGGTAAAAAATTTTTGCCCAGCAGTACTTCGGAGCCTTGGCTGTTTAGTTTTGCTGATGTCTTGGTAATCAGTAAACTAGAGACAGAGAGCAGGTAGCAGAGGCCTGTGGGATTCAATCCAATTTTTTCCTCCAGGGAGTAGTCCCTGGAGCAGGCAGCGAAGCTGCTTCGAAGTGAGGTCTGTGGTTGGTGCATCAAGGGAGATGAAACATAAACAGAAGCAGATTGATTCACTGCAAAAAGAGGTGCAACTAACTCTTACAGGAACAACAATTTAACTCCTGCGACAGCTACCTCAAAAGCCTGGCAATGGAACACCCATCCAACACGGATGTCATTATCATTTCCATTTACCGACAGAAAGGCATTATAAATACTCACATGAGCCCAGAAGTGTTTTTTCTCACCGGAGCCGAGAAATTGCAACCTCCTGTATTGCACCTGATGTGTAGAACTGAGGCATTCACTTCTCAAGAGAGACAAGTCTGTCCCTGTCTCCTGCAGCCAACGCACATCTGGGTTGCGGCTCTCAACAAGTTACACAATATCCCTGTCAGTCACAAGTCACAGAAGGTCTGTATCCTGGCAACCAGGCATTATGCTCCTCCTCCTTTGGGAAGGCTGGAGTGTGTCATTGCTTTAATAAACAGGAGTACTTGTGGCACCTTAGAGACTAACAAATTTATTAGAGCATAAGCTTTCGTGGACTACAGCATATATCTTCGGATGCAT